AAGTATATATTTAAGTAACAAAATTTGATACTTAATAAAACTGTGACCAGTATTAGCTCTGTGTACAAAACAAAAAGAAAGACGAGTCTTGTCACTTTACAGCAGAAGCATTATAAAATTGGTGCAGTTGCAATTTTTTTTTTGAAAGGCACAATTTCAAGCCTAGTAGAATGAATCGAGTGTTAATTTTTTGAGGGGATATTTAAAATTTAAACTTTTTGCTTTGATACTTGAGCAGCCGTGGCGCAGTGGTAGCGCACGTGCTTCAGAAAACGTAAGATCCTTGTTTCTTATTGTTTATAACCCTGAGCCACATTAATAAACTGATGTCAAAGAGTCAAAACATAGCCCAGCGTGTTTACACCATAAACAACCATGAACTTGCCCATGTTAACTGTATAAGAGATCTTGGAGTTACCATTGATAGAAATCTCAAATTCAATCAACATATCAATCTTATCGTACATAAAGCTATGTCAAGAGCTTTTCTTATTTTAAAATCTTTTTATTCACGAGATTGCTGATGGTTAAAACCTACTGTACTTACGTACGGCCTATGCTTGAATATTGCTCTTCAGTATGGTCACCTTACACTATATGCCTGGTTAATAAAGTTGAGAAAGTGCAGCGTTTCTTCACTAAAATAATTGCTGGTCTGTGGTCAGTTTTCTATGATAAGCGTCTAGCCATACTAAAGCTTAACACGTTAAAATATCGACGAGTGTTTAAAGATTTAGTTTTATGCTACAAAATAATTAACGGTAAACTGGACACTGACCTATCAAACATTCTTATTGTCAATTCTTATTTGAATAATCGCGGTCATAACTTTAAACTGTACACCATTGTAGTTTAAACAGCACAAAGTGTTTCTTTTCTAATTGAATTGTTAATGTATGAAATAGTTAATCGAGGATGTGGTGTCTGCATCGTCTGTCTTGATGTATAAAAAACGTCTTGCTGTACTGCTTTGTTCTAGTTAATACAATTTTGTTGTAACTTGTCCAGCACTTGATACAATTTAACATTTCAGTAAAAAATTTGTTAATGTATACTTAGTGTTAGTGGCCTTCGGGTCCTTCTGTTGTTTTCAAATAAATAAATAAATAAATAATAAAAACAACGCAAAAAAAAAAATAATAATAACGTAAAAACTTAAACCTAATAAAAAAAAATAGTTCACTTCTATTTTTTACATTTAAAATGCTTAAACAAAAAAAAAAACGTAATAAAAAAAAGTAATAAATTAAGTATTTTGATCAAAAGTTTGCCAAGAATTTTTCTTTTATAGTTTTGACTAAAAATGCAGACCATAAGTAGCATTTTTTTTTACCAACTATTTACTCTAGCCACAAATACTATGTTTAAATATTTTAATTGTGTACATGATTTATTAAGTATATAAGTAAGTTTTTGCAACAAAAAAATAAAAATAATAATAAAAAAAAATTAAACTAAAAATAATTGGATAATATTAAGCTAATTAATTTAAACAACGGAACAATAACTGTTGAGTAGTTTAAAAATTAACACGAGAAAACTAGCACACGTTGGCCAACGTGTGCTAGTTTTCTCGTGTTAATTTTTAAAACAAATCGTAAGTTTCTTGAAATGGTTTTTATACAATTTATTTTACAGACGTGAGGAAGACGTAGTTTTCTGGAGTTTCTTTCTAGAAACATATATACAATTAGATATTTTTTGCAAAGAAGAAAAGCTAATCTTGATTTTTTAAAGACTTTTAAGTATGGTTCCTAACTTTTTTATGGAATATTTTGCTTCTGAATATTAGGTTGATGTTCTCATATGAATTTGCAGTCGAAGAATGTAGAGTCCGTTTTTTTTATTATTTAAATAGTTTGCTTCATGCATTTTCTATGCACATGCCTAATTTCAATGAAATAAAATAATAAGCAATTGGTTTAATTAGTGTTATACCAAGTATACCACTTTTTTCAGGTAGCCCTAGGCAAACGGTTTTTTGAGGTGGTTCTTTTTAAAAACATATATAAACCTTGACATCTTTTGAAAAGAAGAAAGGTTAGGCTTGATTTTTATATAACTATTGTGTATTGCTACCATACTTTTTTATGGCGTATACCAGCTAAAATGTTCATGCGGTTCGATATACATTGGCGAAACTAAAAAGAAGGTGATATCGAGGTGATTGAACACCAAAAAAACAGCTTAAAAGGAAAATGGTCTAGTTCGGGTGCAACTGAGCATTCTAAAACATGCCATGGTAATTTTGATTGGTGGCACCCCAAAACATTATCTGTAGCCCCAGAATATCGAACTCGGAAAATCAGAGAGTCACTCGAAATAAGCAAGGCTAGGGTTCAATTTTTAATAAAATCTGCTGACGTCAGTTGTTTGAAAAGTTTTTTTCTGTATTATATTATGGCTTTTTAATGTTATCTTTTTAACGGTGTTTTTACTATAACGAATATGTAACTATTTTGTTTATTATACCTGATGACGCTGATCACAATAGATCAGCGAAATATCGAAATAATTATATATTAAAGAAAAAATATATATATTTAAAAAAAGTTTATACGCAGCCGTATTTATTGAATTCTAACCATATTTTAACGTTTAACAATAAAATGACATTCAAAGATTAATATATATATATATATACATATATATATATATATATATATATATATATATATATATATATATATATATATATATATATATATATATATATATATATATATATATATATATATATATATATATATATATATATATATATATATATATATATATATATATATATATATATATATATAACTAGATCCCCTTATAGTCGACAAATCGGGTGAAAAATTTCCACGAAAAGTCGACTTGAGTGGAAAGTCGACAAAATCGAGTCGACCTAACGTTTTTCATTGTATTTTTTATCAAAATCAGTCTTTCTTTCAAGTCTTTTTTGCCATTTTTTAAGAAAATTAGCAGTTTTTGAATAAATATACAAGTTTACTAGTATTTAAAAGCCGTTGATGAGTACTTTATTCAATATGACATTTAAGGGTTATATATCTTAACAAATTCAAAATACCGACGTATGGTCGACCGCACAGAATATCTTCTAAATCATGGCATTTAACTGCATATATTATGTTATTATGGAGCTTAAAATGTTTACTCATTTATTCATTTGAATTTTTTATAGTTTTTTGTTAAATATCAATTGTAGTACAACATATATATGAAATTTAGGAGATATACAAATTCGTTTTGATAAATCTTACGTTACAAGCAAATTTCTTTACCACGCGGAAAGCTTTTTTCCGGAAACTCTTCCTTTTTTATCAATGTTTTGTTTTGAATTTTATAAAAAAACGAAAGTATTCATTTTTATTTTGTACACAACCTTTGAGATTTCTATTTCTTAACCATTATATACTTTTTAAAATATATGGGTGCTTTTATTTAGGAATTATTATTGCAAAGTAGAATATTTAACTGCTTATTAGAAGTCAAATATAACAGCAGTACAAGGCTGTATCTAGATATTATTTATTATATATCTATGATATACTTATAAATATATATTTATTAGTATATTATAGATATATATTAACAGTATACTGTTATTATTATAAAGTTATTATACAGTTATTATTATACAGCCTTATTATTATATAGCCAAGTTATATAGACATTTATATATATCTATAATATACTAATAAATATATATTTATAAGTATATCATAGATATATAATAAATATAAATATAACTGTATAATTTATATACTTATATAGATATACACAATATAAAATTTATATGTAAAATATTAACTAAATTATTAATGTTAACTCGTTATAGCTGCTTCTTTTGATGACTTTAATACCTCTTCTAAGAGTTGACAAGTGGGTTTTTTCTGTTTCATTTATTATAAGCAGGTAAATTATTATCAGCATAATTGTGATATAACTGTGATATAACATGATATAACTGTATAATTTGTTATCAGCAATTTCTAAACATCTAAGTTTCTTAATTCATAAAATTTTCAAGTTTTACAAAACTTTTTTTATTATTTCCTTGGAAAAAAAAAATTATTAAATATAATGACAACTTCAATATTTGTTAAAATAATTATTTATTTAATTTTATTAGTAATTCAATTTAAAACAATTAATAATAATTCAGAACTAAGAATGTTTACATCATCGCCAGTTCATTCGTCAGACTCTGACTATTGGAAAAAGTTAGTTGTCTTTGATTCAGGTAATCTTATTTCAAAGTCTCAAAATATCTAAAACAATTTTTTTGAAATAATGAGTTGATATTTTTTCCAACATGATTATTTTTCATTTTGTATAATTTGAGTAAAATGTGTATATGTAGATGAAGATCGGTGCAGTAATGACAGTGAAGTTTTTCTTCCATTATCCCTTGGTCCATTAAACCAGGTTTTTAGAAAGTTTTTAGCTAAAAAATATTCATGTGAACTTTTAGATTAAATGACTTTTTGTAAAGCTTTTTAACATAGTACTTTCTTAATTAAATATTTCATATATCATATTTAGAAATCTATTATTAACGATTCTGGTTTAATGTGCGATGAAGACCTTTAAATTTTTGAAAGTGGAGAAGAGACGGATGACTGTAGCACAAATCATGAAATTGATTTTGTTGTAATAATGTTTTTTTAAGTTTGTTATTATAACTCACAGTTTATTTTCAATAAATTTTTTATTAAAAATTTTTTAAGTTAAATTAAAAGATCTGCTTTAGAATAAGTTAAAATTTTGATATAATTTTGTACAATAAAAGTTTAAAAAAGCAATATTAAGTGTGAAAAATGGTATGCGAGACTCAGCAGCTGTAGAATTGCTAACAAAACTAGAGGTGTACCGGATATTTTTGACGAATATGCCTGATATTAATCTTTTTAAAAGTTATTTAAGTGTTTATGAAGAAAAAACAAGTCTTGCCAGTCTACAATAAATAGTATTCAAGATCTTATTTGAAAAAATCAAGAGTAAAACTGTTTGACATAGGGTATGTACTAAAGAAGTATAGAAAATAAAAAATAATAAAAAAAACAAAAATTTGGCTGTAAAAACGATTTTTCCTTATACATTATCAACACATATACCTGTGTTGTATCAGTTTTTTTTTTGATTTTATCATTTTAAATCTTAAACACTTTTTAATGTGAAATGGCAAGTTTCTTTTTTCAAGTAAAGCAAACTATTCACGTTAGATTAAAAAAAAAAGTAAACTTTTATTAAAAAAATTATTATTGAATAATAGTTATCTATGTTTTTCACTGTTATTTGTTATTTTTTTTAAGTCTATGCTTTGGTAAAAAATACAAATAAAGTATTATATGAAGATTTGTTAACTACAGAACCTTCTAAGTCAAACAACAGCTCATCTGATGAAAAGGTTGAGTTTTTTAAAATTTGGTTGTAAATTCAAAAGAAATGTATATACATCCTAAATTTGGATGTTTTAAAGTAATAATAAATATATTTTTAGTAGTGTTTACTATCAAGTTATTTATTATTAATCAATTTTATTTATTTTGTTTTTTGTTAGTCTTATTTTATTGCAGTTAGTGGAAATTTTCGTTTGATTTTTAATTTTGTTGTTAATTTTTTTTCATATACTATTTAATAATAGTTATTATTTATTATTTAATGTTATTATGTTTAGTTAATTCATTTGTTTTAACGTTAGACAACTAAACAATTCACATGTGAGACCAAAAAAGGAAATCAATAAACTATCTAAAAAAAGTAATCCAAAACCAAAGCGACCTTGTTTTATATGTGGTGTGCATCAATCAGCACTTTTAAGACATTTTCTAACACATAAAAGTGATCCTAGAATATGTGAAGCTTTTAAATTGTCTAAAATAGAGCGTCGTAAAGCATTTGATTCTTTTAAAAAACAAGGGATTCATCAGTTTAACTTAAATGAAGTCCAAAACAGTAATCCAAAGTTTCTAGGGGAAAGAGCACAACGTTCCAAAAAAAATATGCAATCTGAAAAATTCTAAAATTCAAACAACTTGCTAATGTGCTTAAAATGCAAAAGGTTTCTTTGCAAAGAGTTATAAAACCAGACATCACATAAAATCTGGTGAAGATTCTTGTCAAGCCTTAATACCATCTATTGCAATTAGGGAAATAGATAAATATAATTCTTTAGACAATGATTTCAAGTTAAATATTTTAAATGTCATAAATAACGATGAAATTGGCACGCTAGCTAAAAGTGATAGCATTATTTTGATGATAGGATCTCGCTTGTATGGTAAATTTAAAAGAAGGTTTGATAAAAAGTTGGAGGTTGAGAAATCCGTTAGGTGCTCAATGCGCCGGCTTGCCAACATTTATAATAGATTTACAATTGAAAAAACAGAATATCCTGCCAAAATGTTAGCAATTGAGCAAGGTAATTCTGGTGATATGTTTTTGAGAGGAAATATTGACTATTTAAAAAAAGCAATTGAAAATTATACCGATAAAGGTGAAGCTAAGATAAAATCTGGTTTAAAAAGTGGCATCTATTATTTACTTAGGACTCAGCTGAGAAATGTATGGGATATTACTTAAAGACAAATCGTGATGATTTGTCTAAAGTAGTTTCAAATTTTTTGTACATATTTGGGCTTATGAAAGATGAATTTTTTTCAGACGCTGTTTATGATTTAAATAAACGTAGAAATGAAAAGCATAAAAAACCTGCACAGCTTCCAATGGAAGAAGATATTCAAACTATAAGAAATCATATTGTTACTACTATGGAAAAACTGACTAGCGAATATGAAATAATTGATGGACATTCCTTTATTCAATTAAGAGACTGTGCTTGTGCTCGATTAACTATTTTTAATGGCAGGCGTGGTGGTGAACCTGCAAGACTAACAATTAAAGAATGGGAAAATGCTTTGAATAATGTATGGCTAGACAAACAAAGAATAAAAAATACATTATCTGAAAGTTAGAAGATGGGATGAAAATTACTTATCAGTCTGGGAAAGGGGTTAGTCATTCAGTCCCTGTTTTAATTCCAACTGATACTATTGAAGCAATGAAGTTGTTAGGTTCTGCCGATATTAGAAATCAGGCTGGAGTTTCAGCAAATAACATTTACATTTTTCCAAGTACACAATCTTAACTTTTTCATTGCTCTGGATGGCATAGTCTAAAAAATATAATCATGCAACTTAACTTGATAGATGAATCAAAAGTTACTGGTACAAATAATCGCCATCGACTCTCTACACTAGTGGCTGGTTTAGGAGTTTCAGATGCCCAAATGAGTTTGGCATATGATCACTTTGGGCACAGTGAAACAATTAACAAGACAATATATCAAGCTCCGGCAGCTCATCGACAGCTTCTCTCAACAGGAAAACATCTTGAAGCTGTTGATCAAAATTCCTGTATGTATAAATATATTTTTAATTTGTTTAAATAATTTTTTTAAAGAAATTATTCAACCCAAAGCAAAAGTTATTTTAATTTTATATTTATAAATCTTTTTTTTTTTAGTAAAGCAAGATTTAAAAAAAGCAATAAATATTGATAAAAAAGAACAAAAAAATCGACTTGTAGAAAAACAAGAGAAGCCAAAAAAACTAGCTAAAGTTTTTTTAACAAGATCAAGGCAAAACTTGAGGCTAGTGTTGGAAGTAGCACTCTAATCAGTTTGAATAAACAAGGTATAAATCTTATTTAAATTTTTAGTTATCTAGTATATTTTTCATTTATTGTAAATAATGTTTTATTTGTATTTTAAATGATTCCTTTATACTGAATATTTTTATTAAGTAATAATAATTTTTTACTATTACTCTGTACTCTAGTTCCAGAAATTGCAAATGAAAGTCTTGAAAATCATTCTTCTACTGAATATGAAAGCAATTCAAGCGAATCGGAGTTTGAATTTGATAAAATTCACATGTATACGTGTGAATTTTATCAATCTCTTATCAAGCATATATGCTTGATAAGAGCGTGGACTTTCGGGGAAACTCTTAGACCAAGTTTGACGTAGGCCACTTTGTAAATTCTTTTTGCATTTCCAATAAGTAGGTGAAGTTCAATTGGAGCAAGAATTTCAATAACCTTTACGTAATCAGGTAGATCAACTAGTGGACGGTTGACACAATTATTATAAAATGCAACTGAAAGCGTGGATTTTTTTTATATCTTTACAGGATGTTTTGTAAGCATTAGCTGATAAATGGATACTTCCCAGAGTTCTGAGCTCACCGTGAGTTTGAAAATCTTACATTTTTTCTTTGTTAATGATACACCAAGGCCTTGGTGTAATATTATCAAAAAAAAAAAAAATGCAAGATTTTGAACTGAGAATTTCATTCAAATTTCATGAATTTCATTCGAATCTTGAAAAAATTGAAAGTGCAGCATCAACACACCTTGCCCTTGCAAGGATGTGTTGATCCTGCACTTTTAATTCCAAAAATATATTGACCATTCTTATATTAAAAAGTAATGTAATTCATTAACTTCAAAATATTGAGTATTTTTTTAAGATTCGAATGAGATTCAGCCACATTTTATACTAAGCCAATAATAAACAGTCTCCGTCTTTGTATTTTTCATTACCTATTCATTCTTCATAGCTTAACTTTTTTTTTTTTTTTATGTTACTTCCTGCTTCTTTTTCAATAATATTTGAACGAAGTTTAAGAAATCCGCCTTCAACGTCAATTCCAACGTTTAACATATAATCCTTCGAAAGTTTTCTCATCGTTATTGCTCTCTCAACAAGTCCTTTAACTTTTTTATAATAAATCAGTTATCTGAAATTTTTTTTAAATTTTATTTCTGTTATATCATAATTTTCATTTAAAAACCCATCTTCTTCATTTAATTTTTCTCTTACATTACTTTCAAACATGTCTCTTCCTTTCCAGCTTCTAAATATGCTAGGTACTTTAGCTCCCTGGCTATTACTAAGTCTAAAAGTGTTTTTAAATTTATTAATTTCTGTAATAGGGATTTTTATTACTGGAAAAAGCCTTTTAGAAAAACTTTTCGATTGTTCAACGGCAAGTGCTTTACTTTGGCTGCAAGCTTGATTTTAGGTCCCTCCTCCAAAAATTTCTTTTTTAGTACTATTGAGCATTGAAGTTCTACACCTCGTGTATCTTAAAATGAAAAAATCAAAGTTTTTAGAACATTCTAAATGATCTTACGAAATAGTTTAGAATTCAGCGGTGTTTTTAGAAACTCATTTTTGTTAAAAGTTTTTAGACTCGCTCTAATGATGCAATGTCAATTAATTTACGATTAATGACGATTTCTGTAATGATTTTCAGATTCTTCACTTTTTGCATCCATAAGATATAGCAGTAGATTTGAAAAGGCCTTTTTAACTTGGGAAACAACATTTATTAAAGGTAGATTTTTTATCAAAAAAGTCATGTATTTGAATGTAAGAACTTTCTAATATTTTTGTCAATTAAGGGATAAAAACAACATTTTAATGACACTACAAGTAAAAATTTTTTAGTGTTTTAAGATTTTAATGTAAGCATTTCTTTCATTTATTTTAAACTTGATTGTTCTCCTTAAAATGAGAAAATTAAAATCTTTCTTTCCCTCAAATTAACTTTTTTTTTTATGAAATAAAAACTTGATTAGATCGATTTATTATTAAATAAACCAGATTTTAAAAAACATACCAGAAAAAACAAAAAAAAGAACAAAGACTTTAAACTAGATTTAAACCAGATTTTCTAAAATAAACCATAACAAAAGTTCCAAGCCAAACAATAAAAAAACAAACCAGATTTGAGAAATCTGGCTTTAAAAAACATCGGATGGCAACCCTGCTTTTCTGCTGGCATATTTGCATAAAGAGTTCACATGCTCTTCGAAAGAAAGTTTGTTGTTGAGTTTTATTCCGATTAATACAACATTTTCGAATGTTATAAATTCAATTGAATCAATTGAGATAAAATCTCAAAATACAACAAAACAAATACAATCTTGTTTTAACTTTTTCCTGATCCACACATTCCTTAAAATACTAACAAATGTTAAATTAAATGAAATGAATGAGAATTAGCAAAATAAGAATAGATACTTTTTGAATAAAATAACACTACATTGCAAAATTTAAAAAAATTATTAATATTCCATAGTTTTGCAATGACTTTTTTTTTTTTTTTTTTAAAAAAAAAGGGTTTTTTGGTCAATTTATAGACCACCACATGTATATATATATATACTGGTTGTATTTGTTTTGTTGTATTTTGAGATTTTATCTCAATTTATAATATAACATTCGAAAATGTTGTATTAATCGGAATAAAACTCAATAACATCACTCTGGCTAACAAAACTCACGCAAAACTCTGGCTTATCAAACAGAGTGCGAGCCAAAGAATATAAATTTTTAGAGCTTTTTAAAGAATAAAATTTGTCAAGCAATATGCAGCTGCAGTTTGAAATCTTGAGCTTTTGTCACATCGTCAATTTTAAACTTGAATGTTTACATCAAAGAATACTTGCAAGCTCGACTTGTGGAATTTTATTGAAGTCACAATGTCCCTTGATGATTCTAGCCTAATCTTGCTTCTAGTCATTATTCTAAGAAGTGACATCAAATTCATACCAAAAAGCTTGAATCCATCAATTTGCACACAATTCCGTCCCATTGAGAAGTTGATGTTGTTAATAAGCGTAAATGTTTGCTAATTTATTTGAAATAATAAAAATATTAAAGTAAAAACCACTTTTATAATCTTCAAGCTCCTTAGATTAAAATAAATATTTTTTGTAGTTTTTGCATTAGTTAAACTATTTTTCATTTTTTTTTGAATTTTTTATCGTTTTTAATTTAACGATCGTATGCTTTACTCAGTGGGCATGGGACATAAAAAAGAGGTCTTTTAATCGTCTTTGGAGTGTTTTCAACGTCTTTTAAACGTTTCGGACGACTTTTGAACGTTCAAAATACGTCTTTTATAGGTCCCTCAGTGGGGCATAAGAGAGACGTCTTTTAAACGTCTTTTAAACGTTTGAGATGCCTTTTAAACGTTTTGGACGTCTTTGGGACGTTCAAAAGACGTCTTTTTTAAGTACTGTGTCCCCTGGGTAGAAATAAAACTAAAATTTGAAACAAAAACTTTAGTTTTGGGTAAATAATATATAGAAAAAAGTGTTTATTTACCCAAAACAAATTTCTTTTTAAATGTTATATCCTGTAGTAGTAATACAATAACCTTGTAATCATGAGAGTTGGTTAAAAATTAGTTGCTGTACTTGGTACAGTTTTGGGTTAGCCAATGTGATTAAAAAAAATATTTTAAAACTTGCAATTTTTGTTCATAAAGTTAAGGAGCCGGAGCCGAGCCGGAGCCGAGCCGAGCCGGAGCCGGGTATTTCAAAGGAGCCGGAGCCGGAGCCGAGCCGTCAAAAAAAAGTCGGCTCCACAAGCCTGGTTTAAAGGTTGGTTGATTAAATTTCACCCCACGGTTCCCCTATCATGATAAAGAACGCAATTTTTTTGTGAGTCTTTTAAAAACTTTATTTCAAGTTGATTTTTACAAGTCTTCACTAAAACTAATTTAAGTTTTTTTAACTTTAAAGACAGTATACACACACATATAAACGTCATAGAAAAATTACAAATGTTTCTTAAAAAAAAATGACAGGAAAATTTACAACTATTTCAATTAAAAAAAAAATTATACAATAATACAATCTTTGCTAAATATATAAATCAGTTTCAAATAAAACATAGTTTTAAAAACGACAAATTTTGCAAACGCAATTATTACAATACCAATTTTTGATTTGTTTTTTGAACATCTCAAGACTTTTTGCGGACATGATCTTATCATTTAGAATGTCCCAGGGCGAGGTGGCTCTATATAACGTACAGTGTGAATCATTATATAAGAGCTTTTTGCTGCAACGTAGTTTATACGTAAAAAATTTTATAATAGATTTAGTTGCCAAAGTTTAGAGCACCTTTGAAATAAATTATTAAAGCTTTGGTTGTTCAGCAAAAATTCGTATTACGATACCTGACTGCGTACCAATCATAATACTGGCGTTACTATAAGTTTGGCCACTGCAATTGTTACCATAAGTTTGGCCACGGCAATTGTTACCATAAGTTTGGGCTCGGCAATTGTTTAAATTAAAGAGTATTCTTGACAAAATTTTCTTCATTGCATTAATAATGTTTTCACTTGATATTGTTAAGTTTGTAAAATAGTATAAAATCTTCTGAAATGTCTAGATTGCTATTAACAGAATGTATGCAAAAAGATAGCTGTTCAACATTACTATCATCTGTTTCTTCATCATCCATGACGGAAAAAAACTTTCGTTTACAAATCATTGTAACTTTAACTCTTAAAAAGCTATATGCCATGGTGTGCAATAATTTGTTCTGGATTTTACGATGGATGTCTTTGCACCCAACCTTTTCTTGAAGACATTTCAGTATGTTCTTGCCTTTTGTTCCAAGGAGATGA